TTTTACATGATTGTGGGAAAATTCTTCTACGAGTCCTTCATTACAATACTTTAATGCGAATATAACAAAAATAAATTCTTATAAAGGTAGCTATATATAGAGTATGATTTTGATAGTTAGATTTTAGGGTAATCTTAGTATATTTTTCGCATTTAAAAATTGTTTTGAGACTAACAGTAAATCAGTAATATGAGATGTAGAATTTGTAGTCCACTCCAGCCTGGATCAGAACGACTGTTGGGAAAGCAAGGCGATGTGAATTGCAATGGAAACCTCAGCTCAACTCATGTGATTGTGGGAAAATTCTTTTTATACCAGTCATTAATCACGTTAAACGAAGTTGGGTGAATACATCTCATATTACTACTGATTTACCGGTGGTCACGAAAAACAATACCTAATTCGAAAAATAAGGCTTAATGCTCTAAGAAAAGCCATCACCGAGACTGCAACTTTACATCTCATCACATCAACCACAGTTGCTTACGCAATTACGTGGTCCGGGTCATGCAGTTTTCGTGTATCATTAAGCCTTATTTTTCGAATTAAGTATTGCTTTTCGTGACTACCGGTAAATCAGTAGTAGTATGAGATGTTTGAGGTCATGAAGGACTGGTAGAAGAAGAATTTTCACACAATCATATGATTTGAGCTGACGTTTCCATTCAATTTCACAATCCTTCATCGCTGAATACATCTCATATTTACTAAGCCTTGTCACCATAACCTGACATGAACCACACGCAAACAGACACACACACACAAGCCCATACACACATTCACACAGACACGCACGCATACACAATCAGAGTCGAATAAGAGTGACATGACTAACATGAAAGATAATTAGCCCAAGCATTATATGTAGTGGGATCTTGCGAGGCAAGAGAGAGACTGTGATAAGACCTAGAAAAGGAGGACTGCGTAACAATATGGCAGAATGTGATCAACATTCCCAGCACAAGCAGGAATGGGTGTGGAGTGTGAAGGGTTTTTATGAATAAACACGACACTACATCGAAATAAGCAATTAAAAATTAAAAATGGTAACAGTGAAGGTGTGATATGAGGATATAGGTAATGTGAATAGGCCAAAGGATGGGCTTCACTTGTCTCTTCGACGAGTTGTTGTGTTGCGCTAAGAATGGCCAGATTGACTGACGATACCGGCGAAACGTCTGCGAGTTTGGACGTCTCTTGGTCGTCCTAACAACATGACCAAGTTGCGGAAACAAGGTCAAACAACTTTTACACAACGAAAGGAGACTGCGATCACACAAAAGGCCACAGGAATAAAAAATAAAACTTGAAATTGAAATAGAACTTGAAAATAGAAATGGAAATTGAAATTAAAATCCAACTTGCAAGTATAATTTGAAACTGAAATTGAAATTAACGTTAAA